ATGCTGTGGTAGATCTAGAACTAAGAAGCGAGAATTACCGACGTCGTAGAAGCTTGGGGCATACTTACTGGAACACCCGCAAATGGTCATTACATACCTATGTCGAAGTCTTCTTTGAGAAGCTGTGAAGAGTGCTCAAAGATACGCTGGTCTGGGCAGCAGAGAGCTATAGGACATCTGACATCAGGTATTCCTGATCGTGATGATGATGATGATGATGATGTTGTTGTTGTTGTTGTTGCTGGTGACGATGATGATGCTCATCATGATCAATGACACCATCATGACGATAATGATGGTGGAGACGATGATGACGATGATGACCATGACGATGATGATGGAGATCGTCACGAGAGAAGGGCTGATGTCGTTGGCAAATTCAACCCCGTCATCTTGTGATGTAGATCGTCAGAACATCAGCACATGAGTCTGATGCAGCGACAAGGCTCTGTGAAGAATACCCAGAACCTTTTCAACTAGACCAGATATAACCTGACAATGATTTCGCTACGTGTATCACTTATATCCCGACGAGACCAACAACATGTACATCTCATGTAATCTCATAATACTGGGAAGTATAAGTATGCGTTGCAAGCTGAGATGACCACAGCTGCGAACAGTCTGGATGAACGCCCAAACGACTCTCTTCAAACTAGTTTGTGAGTAGTCGAGCCTAAAATCTTGTCAGTCTCGATATAGCACGGTGTTAGTGACTTCAATCTGAACATCTAGCGGTTCTACTTCCTTGCGAGCTCTCGAAACCGCCCAGAATCCTGGGAGAATCCTCTACGATCCAGAGGAGCCACTCCGGTAGTGGCTCACAAACCCTAAAAAAACTTCGAAAGTTTTGTAGTGGACCGGGCAAGCACCTACTTCGCTATTTGATTGTCCAAATGGGGCTGAGGGTGAAACAAGACTCGGAGCTCAATCTGCCGGAGGGCGCGATGCGATTGCCGTCAAGAAGAAACAGAGCGCCCAGGCGGTATAGATCACTCCGGCGTAGGCGTAGGCGGCGAGTTGTTCTGATGAGACGGAGCTGTCCTGCATTCACTGTTTCCAGGTTATATGATGGTCGTAGACATGGGAGACCCACAGATACTTTGCGATACAGACGAAAACATACCGTCAAAGTGGAGAATCTGGTTTATGGAAAGAGTCCAGATAGGATGGGTCGGGAACAGGTCCTAAATCCATGAAGCTTCTGATCCTGATCTTGAACCAACACCTTGGCAGTATAGTAGTGAAGTTCCAGGATGTGAAATTTGACCAAGATAATCTGGCTGTATGCGCAACATGGAAGCGAGGCAAAGTGATGTCTTTCAGAAACATCTTTGCTTTGCCTTGTTCGGCTTACAGGCCATATCGTGTCGCGTCTAGAGTTACAGTACTGGATGATGCATGCATACTTGATGATGGAAGTCATAGATGTTGTATAGACCAGGTGATGTATATGTCCATACGTTTCTCCAGATACCTGCCGTTCAAGATCACATCAGATGGTCCAAAGTCAACGAGGAAGAGCAGCAGAGGGATGGAATCTTCGCATCAATGTTATACAGATCGCTTGATACCCTAAACACCCATAAGAAGGGTCTGTGTCAGCGGGTGCCAATTCATTGATAGTACGATGTTCCTTACATCACTTCTCGTTTGCAAAGATATGTGTTTCCACCGCGGTACAATCTACACATTGACCCGAATACTCTGACATCTTGGGACTCAAGTTTCCA